TGAGATATAATTCTCCTATTCTCCATAGTATTAAGATGTTGACATTTTCCACTTATATGTTGAGTGATAGACTTGTTGATTTTAATCCAAGCAAAATCCTCCATCTTTAGGTGATGCAAATGTTGTCTTATACTTATGGGTGACTAGTCGTAGTTTTCTCCTTAAAATGACGACTTGTCTTTACATTTAAAAATCAATCAAAACCAACCAATATCTGTTATTTGTATCATGAACTACGGGGTTTTGATCATATATTGCACTTTGTGGGTACGTAGGCATGAGGCGATAAGTCTCTCCAAACACAAAAATCTAAAAAAATAATTCTCTTCTCATCTCCCCAATCTTCTTTCAAACAAACCTTTTTCAAACCAAAAAGCGTAGATATTTCAAAGGGCTCCTATAGGGTACTATAGACGTTTTGGGTGCTAACACCTTCCCATTGCGTAACCAACCCCCTTACCCAGATCTCTATTTATTTGTTCTTGTTTTAGAACTCTTAGGTTTTGTTCGCTCTTTTTCCTTTCCTTTTGGATAAAATAAAAGTGTGGTGGCGACTCTTGCATTTTTTAGTTAAGTTAATTAATAGCTTACACTCACAAATTTCCCCGCTACACTATCCATGAGTTTTCTCTTATCCATTCCCTTTGGGGCTATCGAGGAGGTTGAGGGACACCACATAAATCAGCAATGCGCGTCATTTGCGCTGCCAATTGTTGGTTTGTTTGGGTAGTATTTTGAATTAAAGGGTTGAATATGACACCTATTTGTTGGGCAAGCATTTGGACTATCTCGTGATTACTTTCGTCCATTTGTTGCCTTATCATTGCTGCATGATTGTTAGTGATATTAGGCATCTGGGTAGGAAATCCTCTCCCCAAGGGATGACTAATTTGACCCATGTTATTGATGCCTGAGCCAGATCCTTGCAATGGCAAAGTTACGTTCACCACTGGGTCTAAGAACATTAATGATGAATTATGTAAACTTTCTATCATTGATGTGGGAATGCTATAAAGATGTTCACGCCCTATTGAAGGCATAAAAAATCTAGACATATAAGGCCTAAATACATTACTTCCCACTAGAAGGGGATCACTGGTGGACCCTACATTCCCACATGAGATAATATGGGTCCACTTGGCGCAACCGACTGCACAGGCGTCGTAGACGCCATGGATTGCACTGGTTCCACAACTGATGCTGGAACTGTAGTTCCCCCTGTCGAAGACAAAGGGGTGTTTCTTCATTGTTTGATGAATTGTGGTTATTCAGTAGATTTTGATTCACCATCCTTCTTACGTATCTTCTCCTTGGTCTCTCTTCGTTGTTTGTGGCTATTTTACCACTCCTAAGTCTCATGCAACGAAGTCTAGAGAAATAGTAAAAATGAAGAACTTATAAAAATAAAATTTCAAAAACAGAATAATTATCCAAACAATAGCACAGTCCCACTAGGTGTGCCAATTTCTTTACCGTGAAAATTGGTAAACAACCGTTGGTCTTCCAAAAATGGTTTACTTGCAGGGTCAACCAGTGAATCCTTAGGACATAACTATTGTTAAAACAATTTCTAAAAAATGTTAAGAACACTTCGACAATGCTCATGCTTGTGAAAGATTATTTTAAAGTTTTGAGAAGATAAACTTGCAAAAATTGTAAAATTGCAATAAAGATAAACTTCAAAGTAAAAGTAAAGTAAAGGGATAAATGGTAAATTGAAAGTAAATTTCTATTGAAATGAATGTGGTGTTTCACACATACATTTCTCAATGAAAACTCTTTTCTCACTTAACTTAGATACTTTGAGTGATTTTTGAGTATTTGTACAACAATGAACACACATAAATCCTAACACTAAGACTCCTATTTATAATATATCAAAAATAACCGTCTTCAACAAATATTCCTCTAAAAATTGACACGTTGTACTCTGTGTGTCTTCGTTTCGTCACAACTCTCCACGCGTCCTTCCTTGAGAAATGGATATGGACAAAGACAATTATTATCCGCATTGTAAATTTCAAACTTCTATCGAAGGGAAGTCACATACGCCCTCCGCCGAAGTTGTTGTCCAGACTTAGAAAATATATCTAAGTATCTTCCCAGCATGTCTTCCTTATGAAGACCATTTTCGACTAGGATTCTGACACAGACTCCTGTCGAATTCGACAAAAACTCAAGAAACAGTTGATTTTTACCAAGCATCTTTAGACAAAAGTCTGACGTCGAAATTCCCATCCAACAGATGCTCAGTTGTTGAAGACAATGCTGAATGTTGGAGCTTGTTATCATAGGTTGATGAAGGAGATTGAGGTTAAGAATAATGGTATTCCTCATGGGTTTATGAGTTTCAGTTTTAAGTTGCTTGTTGGGTAAGATGTCTTAGACATTATGTCCAACATCTGTGTATCAGTTGATGAATTTTATCTGGTTTTTGATGAAGAAATATTGGAATTGTTTTCACCTTAACTTGTTGTTGCTGCTATTGTAAGTATGTACGATGATACTTAAGAAAGGATGTTGCTTCTATCTGGTGCTCATAAGTAGTTGTGTGTTGCTATTATCTGAAGAACAATTGGTAGTATCATGTGCGTAGTATCATGCTTGTCTGCATGATCTACTGCTGGGTTGTTTGTTTGATGGTGGTTCTATGTCCTTTTTTTTTGGAAAAAAGGGAGAGAAAAATAAAAGGGCACACTTCTTTGATAATGTTTTCTAATAATGTTTGTCTTTAGCTGTGGTGTAACTTGAAGAAATGTTTAATCCGTGCTTTGTCTAAAATTATCCAAAGGGATATGTTGTTCTTTGATTGGTTTATAAGCAAAATGGACAACAAGATGTCTAGAAGATGTTGTGTGACATCTTGGTGTGCGTGTTATACTGGTTGGATTCTCATGCACTTCGTTTTGTTTCAAGTTTGTTCGAGTCCAAGGTTTGTTCAAGTCCAAGTTTCTTTTGTAGTTGCTTTGAAAGAAAGATTTAGATTAATTAAGATCATTTAGAAGATTGGATTCACATTGCAGAAAAGGCAGAATTTGCACTGAAAAAAAATCTACACAAGCAAATGATTCTAAAGATCAACCTACTCAGATGATGATGAAGGCTGAGTTAATTTTGTTACATCAGGAAATATTCTAACTTTCTGTTCTGGTGCTTGTTAGCTCACAAATTCGACGCCTCAGGTATAGGTTAAAATATTTAAATAAAACATAAAAGCCTTTTAGAATGAATAGGGTTTCGAGCAAGGAGACCTTCAAATGGGAATTCAAATGTTTTAGGACTTAGAGAAATTTCTAAAACATTAAGGAAAATGACCTTCGACCGAGACATTGGCTGAAGATTAGTGAAGGTTTTTGAAATTCAAATAATGGAGGGAGTGATTATGCTTTCCCATGACTAAGCAGGACAAGTGGCGTTCGATTAGTAAGTGAATGCATGCACAATGACACTTGTCGGAAGCTGATGGTTTTAGGAGTTTATTGGTAGTTATTTTTACTATTATAAATAAGAGTTTTAGACATAGAATTCAGTGTGTTGTAATTTACTATTTGTACAAGTTACTCCAAAAATTACTCAAACTACCCGAGTGTAGAGAAACGAATTCAAGGAGAATGTACGTTATGTAAACACACCATCCTTACTTTCAATGAAGTTTAATTTACTTGCTTAACTTTAAAAAGTTTTCCTTTACTTTTTCTGCAATCTACCCCTTTAAAGTGTTTTATTTTATTTTACTTTGTCAAACCCTTCTCAAAGTTCTTTACTTCACTCCTTGCAATTCTCTATCTTTTCTCTCTTCAGTCGAACAAACACTTTTTATGATAAGTACTTTTACTGAAACACTGTCGAAGTCTATAGGTTAGATAGACTAGTTCAAAACATAATCTTTAGCACGTCCTAGGATCAATCTGATCAATCATGTGAGTCATCAAAGTTAAATTTAAAAGATCAGGAGTTGTTTTCCATTTTTCAAGAGAAACAATGCTCTAGCTTCATTCATGATGTTTCTGGCTTTCTGTTTAATATTTGTGCTCATGGTTGTTGTTGAAAGTTTCTACTCCTGATTTTGCGTGCTCTTGACTAATAAGTTCACTTAGTCTACTAATGGAACTTTTTCAATTTATAACATAAAAGGAGTAATTTTTAAGTAAGGCTGTTTTTCATTATTCAATATTAATACATAAAAGATAAATTTTTAGTTGTATTTTAAATAAACTCTATCAACTAGAGAATTAATTAGATCAATGGAATATTTATTGAGTTCATCTTCCTGCCTCTTTGTTTTCTCTTTATTAAAGACGAATGTTGATCTTGTAACATTTGACAAACACCGTGCTAACAAATTAACAACGATGATACATAAAAGAAAGAGTATAAGGGATATAAAAATTGTTCTTTGGATTTCAAAGCAACTAGACAAACTTCTACACTGGTTTATTTTAAGTATTTCGTTATATTAGAATTTATATTTAAAATAATAACTATATTTGATTCAATAAATAAATATAATATAAAGTTTATTTAAGATGAAGTTAATTTAAGGTTTAAAATTCAACTCAAATGCTATGATTTACGGTGAGTTAAAAAAATTGATTTTTAATTATATAGAATAGAAATCAACATATTTTAAGAGTAAATATATTTAACTTACTCCAAATTAGAATATTAAATTAAATTTAATCTAATAGTTAAATTATTATTTTTACTTAATTAATTATTAGATTAAATTCAATTCAAAAATATAATTTAATATAATTTGAAATAAATTAAAAAAAATTTATTTTAAAATAAATTGATCCCCACTCTTAAAACAATACAATTATTTTATATTTTTTTTGAATAGATAATAGTTATGTATACATAAATACGAAATTAACCTTAAAAGGTTACACTTGTATTATAAAGATTTATTTGTATTTATGATAAGTTTTTTATATAGGGATAACAAAGTATTAGTGATACATCTTTTAATCTAACATTGATATCAATATTTCACCAAATCACATTGAAACGGCAGATTGTGTGTCGAAAATACGATTTAGTGTTGCAGCCAATCGAACACTTCCTTGAGCTAATCGCAAGTTGACAATTGGTAAACGTGACAGGAAGTAATCATCTACAAATCCCAATTTTAAGATATAAATTAGAAAATAGTATAAAAAAACCATCTCAATTATCTTAGTTGTAAACTTTGTAATAGCTTACCATCAAGTGTTGAACCTTCTGCTGCATCTTCATATGCCCATTTACATGCGTTTTTACTACTTTCAGAAGCGTATCTAAAAATGTACATGTCAAACTTAATCTTCTTTCAATGTAATACTTTGATTTTTCTCGATATTTATAAAGATATTATTAAAAAATTGAACAAAATACTATGAAGAATGTTGAGCAAAACATAACCAAAATAAATAATTTTCTTTTAGAAATATAATTCAACAAAATCAACTAAGATATTTTCGTAAGACTCACGTAATAGGACATGGGATGTCCTTAGATCCGCAATTCTCCCAATCTTCTATTTGATCGGCCCATTCTGTCTGTTTATTTAGAAAAGAAAAGAAAAAGAAAAAATGAGAAAAATATAAAACTAATTCAGACGTGAATTTTAAGCAAAGTTATAAAAACGGATTGAATACCGTAATATTTTGTTGAATCGCATTAACGAACTGACTCAATTCTGAGTCAAAGAATCTTTCAACTTGTGTCTCAATTATGCTAACATCCCAAACCTTGATAATGGGATAAAATTAGTTATTGAATAGTAGTACAAATATATGATATGTAGGTGATGAAATTAAAAGAATGAATTTGATTGGCATACATGGTGAAGATTTTGTTTTCTTTTGTACCAATGAACGTTAATTGTATTGCCTCCTTTGTCTGAGACAAAACCACAATGCAGAGGCTGATGGATGTCTCCCATAAAATGTGAAAGGAATAGAAGAGCTTGGGTGAGGTTATCTGTATGATATATACATTGAGATTGAGTTTGTAAAGAAGAAATATATTTAAAAAATGTCTTAAAAAGTGTATTTGGTGTTTACATTGAGATTCAGTTTGAGTGGCAAAGTCGAGGAGCTGATCAGTGTAATTGCTAATAGCCGCGACAACACATCGACCTTTGGTTCCGGTTTTGTGATCTAAACAATCTCCTGAATTAAGAAGGGAAAAATGTTTGATTAAATATTAGTAACAAAGTAATTAAGAAAATTAATTGTGATAATCCAATTAAATGTCGGGTCGGATAATGTGTTGTTTCAGTTGGAGACAGTTTTAACCATTCGTCCTATATAAAATAGAACTCACACCATTCACTTATTTGAAGATTAGAGTATTAATCATTCAGATCAATTTCTACGATAAATCAACTCCACCTATCTCTAGTTCCCATACAAACACAAAATATTACCATTGTTCTTCAAAATCGGACTTTTTATTATCATAAATATTCACGAAAAATCTTATCTCTTCGTTATGATATAGATCACTGATCTTTACCTCTCTCACTCTCTTAGAGTACTGATCTCTTTCACACAATTCCTCAAAAAGGTCACCGGTCCATTCCTTACCATCATGGTAGTTAACATAACCCATTTATCCAACTAAATAGTCCACTCCATCCATGTAATATTATGTATGGTCACACTTATATAAAGCATGGAGCGTTAATAAATAAATTGAATTGAATTCATCCATGTGATATTATGGATGGATAACACTTTATTCACTCTTTTTATAAGAAATATGCTAAATAAAATATACAATTTACTTATTTATAATTATTTTCAAATAAAATACCAAAAGCTAACAAAATAAATAAAAATGAGTTCCAAGCCATATTAAAATAAGAGAAATTATATAGTTACACCAAAATTTACAACTACACCGAATATTCATTCTATACCACCTACTTTTTTTATTTTATTTATTATTTTTATGAAAATTGGAATGTGTGCTGCATGAAAAATAATGCTGATGAAGTATGGTGTAAGGATACTGTGTACTAATTTTGGTGTAATAATTGTTGGTGCAAAGGTGAATAAATGATGAAAAGGAGAAATATTCTATTAAGAATGACGGCTACAAAACATGATAAAAGTTACAATGATTGTCACCCTATTTATAAGCTAAAACTAGGGTTACTAGAATAAGATAAAATACTAAAATACCCTCTAACAAACTTAGGGGCTAAGAAAATAGTACTAATAATATGAATTACTTCTAATATCATCCCTTAATTCATATTTCATCAAAACTTGTAACACCAATTCCATCTCTTAGTCTGAGAAATTGATCAGTCTTGATAGCTTTCGTCAGAACATCTGTCAACTGCTTCTGAGTGCTGCAGTGTACAACTTCTAACACTCCACTCTGAACTTGATGTCTCAAAAAATGATACTTGGTCTCAATATGCTTGCTTCTCCCATGCAACACTGGGTTTCTGGCAAGATTGATTGCAGACTTGTTGTCAATCATCAACTTCAAAGGTTTGTCTACTTTAATCTTCAGATCCTGCAACAGATTCAGAATCCACACAGCTTGGCATGCAGTAACAGCACCTGCAATGTATTCAGCTTCACAGGTTGACAACGGCACAACAGGTTGCTTCTTGGAACACCAAGAAATGGAACCTCCCAGAAATTTGAACAAGTACCCAGATGTACTTCTTCTGTCAACTCTGTCTCCACACCAATCAGAGTCTGAATAACTCAGAAGTTCTGACTCATTATTTCCTCCAGAGGGAAATAACACTCCATACTTCAGAGTTCCTTTGATATACCTCAGAATCCTAACAGCAGCTTGGTAATGGGACCACTTAGGTTTACTCATGAACCTACTAACCATCCCAACTGAGTAGCAAATATCAGGTCTAGTATTGCACAGATACCTCAGAGAACCAACCAACTGTTTGAAGGTTGTAGCGTCCACATCCTTTCCTTCAGAGTCTGAATCCAGTTTCTGATTTGTATCAGAAGGTGTGGCAGCCATCTTACAATTCTTCAGATCAAATCTCTTCAGAAGTTCTAATTCATACTTGAGCTGATGCAAAATGATACCTTTCTCAGAATATCTGAACTCCATCCCTAGAAAGTATGTCATTTTGCCTAGATCAGTCATTTCAAATTCATTCATTAGAACCTTCTTGAACTTGGCTACCTCCTGTTCAGAACTTCCAGTCAGCAGTATATCATCAACATATAAACATACCAGAGTCATATTGCCTTCAGAAGTATGCTGAACATAGACACCGTACTCCATCTCACATTTCTGAAAGCCTTGCTTCTTGAAAAATGAATCAATCTTCTGATTCCAAGCTCTGGACGCTTGTTTCAATCCATATAGAGCTTTGTATAATCTGTACACCATCCCTTCCTAATTCTTTTTCACAAATCCAGGAGGTTGTGACACGTAAACTTCTTCTTCTAATGGACCATTCAGAAATGCAGATTTTACATCTAAATGCATCAGATGCCAATTCCTGTTAGCAGCTATTGCAATCACCATTCTGATTGTTTTATGTCTTGCTACAGGTGCAAACACTTCAGAGTAATCCAGCCCAGGTTTCTGTAGAAATCCTCTGGCTACCAACCTTTCTTTATGTTTGCCAATTGAACCATCTGGCTTTAACTTCTGCTTGAAAACCCATCTAACACTGATGGCTTTCTTGTCTTTTGGAAGTTCTGTCAGCTTCCAAGTCTTGTTTCTCTATATAGCATCAAGTTCTTCTTTCATGGCCTTCAACCAGAGCTTCTGCTTAAGAGCCTCCTTTGTACTTATAGGTTCAGAGTCTACTAACATGGCACACTGAATAACTTCTCCTTCATAGTTTACTTCAGTGTCTTGCAGCATGTCAAATTCTGCAAATCTTCTGGGAACGCTTCTGATTCTTTGTGGTCTCTGAACTTGTTCAAAGTCTTGGGCTTCAGATGATTGACTTTTTCCAGAGCTTTGACCAACTTCAGGATCTGACATATTTCCAGAGTCTTGGCCATCTTCAGAGTCTGAATTTCCACCAGAATCTGGATTACCATCAGAGTCTGGATCATCAGAGTCACCTTCATCTTCTGAGTCTTCTCCAGAGTCAGAATCACTATCAGAGTCAGAATCAACGTCAGAGTTTACTTCAACTTCAGAAATTCTTAACTCTGACCTTTCTTCAGAAGTTCTAACATCAGAATCAGATTGAGACTTATCCCAATTCAAAACTTCTGATTCCTTCACAATCACATCTCTGCTGAATTCAATTTTATTGGTTTCTGGACAATAGAGCTTGTATGCACCTGTACTGTGGTACCCTATCAGAATCATCACTTTGCTTCTGTCTTCTGGCTTCTGGAACATGTTTATAGCAAACAAAACCAAACACCTTCAGATGACTAACACTTTGCTTGTCTCCAGTCCACTTCTGCATAGGAACTATTTCCTTCAACTTCTTCGTAGGACATCTGTTGAGTACATACGTTACAGTGGCAACAACTTCTCCCCAGAGCTTCTGAGGAAGCTTCTTCTCCTTTAGCATGCTTCTCACCATATCAAGCAAAGTGTGGTTTCTTCTTTCAGCAAGACCATTGTGTTGAGGGGTATAAAAAGCAGTAACCTCATGCTCAATTCCATTCTCCTCACAGAACTTCTGGAACTCTTTGGAGTTATACTCACCTCCACCGTCAGTTCTAAGAATCTTCAACTTCTGACCACTCTGATTCTCAGCCTTCATTCTGAATTTCTTGAATTCATCAAACACCTCGTGTTTGAACTTAATAAGGGATACCCATGTCATTCTTGTGAATTCATCAACAAATAACACAAAGTATTTATTCCCTCCAATTGATGCTACTGGAAATGGACCACACACATCAGAATGTACAACTCCCAAGGCATGTTTTGCTCTTGGAGCAACTTCTGGCGCAAATGACAAACGTGGTTGTTTTCCTTCCATGCAAACTTTGCATGAGTTCTCAGGCTTCTTAATTGCAGGAATTCCATGTACCAGCTTCTTTGAATTCAGATGTTTTAAGCTTCTGAAATTCAAATGACCAAATCTTCTGTGCCACAACTCACTCTCCTTCTCAGCACATGTTGCACTAAGACATTCTGAGTCTGCAGTTCTGACATTCACCTTGAATGTTCTATTCCTTCCCTGTTCTGACTCCATAATCAACTTCTGATTGTAGTCATACAGCTTCAGAAGATTGTCCTTCATGGTAACTGAAAAACCTTTCTCAATTAATTGTCCCACACTCATCAGATTGCTTCTGATGCCAGGTACATACCACACGTTCTGAATCAATGCTGTTTTCCCATTATTCAGAGTCACTCTGAAATTTCCCATACCTTCTGCATTAAGATATTTGTCATCAGCACATCTGATCTTTGTCCTCTTTTCAGAGTCAAAGTTAACTAGCCATTTCTTGTTTCCAATAAGATGATTTGAACAGCCAGTGTCCACATACCACCAGTCTGTCAGATCCATATCATCAGATTCAGAGGCCATCAATAGCACAGATTCGTCATCAGAACTTCTGGCTATATTTGCTTCTTTTGATTTCTTCTCCTTGTTTGACCAACAATCTCTAGCAAAATGACCAAACTTCTTACAACAGTAACATTGGATCTTCTTCTTGTCATACTTCTCTTTTCCCTTCTGAGCATTCTTTTGCCTATCAGAGATTGAGCTTTCTGACTTCTGACCACCATCAGATCTTCTCTTGGCTTCTGACTGCTTCTGATACCTCCTATCAGAAGTTGCTTTCAGAGCCTGCTGCTCTACTTCCCTTTCAGAAGTTCTCTCAGTCAAACGCAACTCTTGCGCTTCTAAACTGCTCTGCAGCTCTTCAATTCTCATGGTACTCAGATCTTTGGAATGTTCTATTGCTACCACAATGTAATCAAATTGAGAGGTAAGGGATCTCAATACTTTCTCCATGATTGTTTCTTCAGAAAGAGTTTCTCCACACGTCTTCATCTCATTAGTGATCAGAATAACTCTGGAGATGTATTCAGAAACTTTCTCATTATTCTTCATGTTAAGAGTCTCATATTGCTTTCTCAAGGACTGAAGCTTCACCTTCTTCACTGATGCGTCACCACCATAACATCTAACCAGTGTGTCCCACGCAACCTTTGCTGTCGTTGAATCTGCAATCTTCTCAAACACATTTACATCAACACATTGATGAATAAAGAATAATGCTTTCTGATCCTTCTTCCTTACTTCCTTCTGCGCGTTTTTCTGTTCATCCGTTGCACCTGCTGCTACCGGAACATAACCATCAGTGACAAGATCTAAAACATCTTGAGCACCAAACAGTACACACATTTGGATCATCCAACGATTCCAGTTTTTACCGTCAAATACTGGAAGCTTGGTGTTCATGTTGCCGTTTCCGTTCATCTTCACCTTGCACAATACACTCAGATTTCTCACACAGTGTTTCCCAACCCACAGAATAAAATTCTGATCAGATTTTGTTCAAGATTCAACACGAATCTAAGAATCAAAATCAAACACACAAGACCTCACGTTCACTCGTGTTTCTCAATGAATCTGAACCGGAGCTCTAGATACCAATTGTTGGTGCAAAGGTGAATAAATGATGAAAAGGAGAAATATTCTATTAAGAATGACGGCTACAAAACATGATAAAAGTTACAATGATTGTCACCCTATTTATAAGCTAAAACTAGGGTTACTAGAATAAGATAAAATATTAAAATACCCTCTAACAAACTTAGGGGCTAAGAAAATAGTACTAATAATATGAATTACTTCTAATAATAACAACACTCCTCTTAAAATAAAGACGACATAGTTTATTGTTTTGGTTTAAGAAATATTTTAAAATAATAATAATAATTTTAAATTTTATTGAAACTAATAAAAAGCCTATCATAAAAAATATTTTAACATTTTTTTAAATATTTTTATTTATAAATTTTATACTAAAATATGATATTAATGAATTCGATTGTTTTTTTAGTACATAAATTAAATTAAAGTAAATTTTAAAATAATAATAAATTCTTAATAAATTTAAATTTAAGCTCTCTAGTTTTATTTATAAAAAAATTATTTTTTAAATTTATTAAAAAATTAATATATTTAAATTATATATGAATCAAATATATTAATTATTTAACATATATATTAGAAAATAAAATTTCTCTTATAAATAGGATTAGCAATATATTATCTTCTGAATACATTTTAATTGAGACTTCTGCCATAAACTAGGCCTAGAATAAATATTTAAAAAAATATAGGAAATTTTAAAAAGATCTTAAAAAACTGACAAGAAAAAAAGTTTACATTGAAGTACATATTTTTTGCATTAGCAGTAATTTAAAATTTTGAAGCATGTATAATATTTATGAGAAAGGAATGAGAAAGGATTGTTACTTTTGTTGTTGTAGCTGCAAACGTTGTCAGGAGTATCAGCAAAGTGCAAAGGAGACGACCACGGAAAAATAAACCTCAAACGATCTGCCCATGAACACTGACTTGCCAAGTCATTCTTTGCAGATTTTGGCAACAACTTTTTCACAGCCTTAGCAGCTTCGTTGCTCAGCCGACCCTATTTCAATCAATATTAACAAATTTTAAATCCATCTCTTGTTTGTTTTTCATTACTAAATTTTATAACTGAAATTTCATTTTGAAAGACAACCAACCAACCTGAGCAATCTTACAAACAATGGCATGTCCGTCATCTCCCCACCCTGTGGTATTTGGAAGCGAAAACATGAATGAGACTATGGCCACAAGCACAATTCTATGACAACCCATTATAAAGAACACAAGTAAGGATTGTCTTGATCTGTTGTTTATGTGAAGTGCAAGATAGATAGATATATGTAAAGTTGGTAATATTTTAGAGCTTTTCAAGTCAACATTGACAGGTAAGATAGGTAAGATGCCATGATTCTTATTTAAAGCAAGGTACATATTTTAGACTCTATGTATGAGTTCTATCTTCACAAGCAACTTTTCGTTATATTCGGATGAACTAAGAATATTCCCAAAGTAAGTTGACTTAGATGATAATCATCTAAAAATATATGAATTAATATATTTGGGTTCATATTTAACAATATGTAATTCATTATTTTAGAAAGATTCGATATGATTTAAAAAGATCAGATTTGATTTAGAAAGATTAAATTAGATATTTTTGAGACTTTTATAGTTTGAACTTTATCTTGAGATACAAGTTAACCTAAATCTATAAATAGGAAGGAACCCTTATCATTGTAATCATCAAGTTTGATAATCAAGGTTTTGCAGTTACAAAGTGATAATAAAATTTCACAGTTGTGGGCAAAGAATTACTCTGTAGTTCATACTCATCTTCTTTAAACGTGTTCTTATTTTTGTTCATTGTCATTACATAACAATCTTAAGATCAAGATTGAGAAGAATTCAGCATAGATCGTGGTTGAATTCCAACATCTGGTATCTAGAGCTCCGGTTGTGATTCAAGGAAGCAAAATCGTGATGGCAATGAATCACCCGAACTGTCACTTTCCAGCAAATCTTCCAATTCTCAAGAAAGATAATTATGAGAATTGGTGCATGCAGATTAAGGTGGTTTTCTGTTACTAAGATCTTTGGAATTTTGTGAAGGATGGATTATCACCGCTTGTAGAAACTACGACAGATTAGGAGAAAGAAGTATATAAAGAATTGAAGAAGAAAGATTATAAAGTTCTCTTTATAATCCATCAATGTGTTGAGCCAGATAACTTTGAAAAGGTTAGTGATGTAGAATCAGCAAAAGAAGTTTGGGAGATTCTTGAAAAATTATTTGGAGGCGCAGAGAAGGTGAAAGAGGTGAAGTTACAAACTCACAAGAGGACTTATGAATTGCTTCAGATGGAAGACAATGAAAGTATAACAGATTTCTTCACCTGAGTCACAAAGCTGATGAATCAAATCAAGGTATGTGGAGAAATATTCACATCAAGATCAGTTGTGTCAAAGATCTTGAGGTCGTTGGCTCAAAAGTTCGACCACGTGGTAGTAGTCATAGAATAGTCGAAAGAATTGTCAGTATTGACGAATGAAGAACTTCAATGGACGCTTGAGTCTCATGAACAAGGGATGACTGAAAGAGGTGAAGGAAAGTTGAAGAGTGATATAGCTTTGCAGGCACAGTCAGAAAAAAAGGAAAGACAAAAGAAGTTGAAATGGAAACAAAGGTAGATGAGGCTACACCAATACGACTGGTCGAAATCAGCATGAAGGAAACTGGTCGAATAAGAGAAAACCCTGTAACCAAGGCAACCAAAGAGGTGGTGCTTGTAACACCCCACTTCCCAAAATTAAAATAAAATACGATTAATCCAAATAAACATCAGAGTCTTCCCTCATCAAGTGGGATATCACATCACATAATCCATAATACTCTTCATTAGAAGGTTTTCAAAACAAAACAGCGGAATAATATTTAACTCATCATTCTCGGCCATCCGCCGAATTACATAAAAAGATTCATGAAAATGTTCACCAACATGATACTGTCGCACCTCGAAAAATCACATTCGAAAATACGACCCTCGCGCGAAAGGCGCGGAAATGCGGTTCGACAGAGTCGCCACCGAACTTTATTTTTCCCGAAATAAACGGGAGAGGAAAATATCGAGAAAACCTCTTAAAACGAAGGGATAGGAACAGGGCTGTCGCAACCAAGTTCCGGGTTCGGGAGTCGGTTACGTGAGGGGAAGGTATTAGCACCCCTCACGTCCGTCGTACTCGACGGGAACCTCTTAAGGTAAATGTGGGGAGTGTTGTTTAGGTTTACTGGTTTTCTTCTTGTTGTTAAAGGTAGAATTGGTAGGGTAAAAGGTTAAAGATGCTAAGGAGAGATGGGTGGTTAGCAGATAGGGTGCTCGCCAAGGATTGGGGCCCTTGTGCCTACGTATGCTCATTCGGACGAGAATGAGAAATCAGAGCGTCGTAGTTCGACTACGGGAAAAGATGGGGTGGAATTATGGAGAAGGGTAGAAGTGTGCTCGCCAAGATCATCGCAATCTTGTGCCTACGTATCTTATATTCAAGAATGAATAAAGAATCAGAGCGTCCGTAGTTCGTGGTAACAACCACGAAAATATGAGGTTTGGAATGGGTTGAAGTTGAGTTGAGAGACGAAAGAGTGACTGACAAACAACCTAAGGGCGTGCCTCAAGAGCTTGTCACTCAAGAAATCAAGGAATGCGAGATCCCAAGAACTCAGTTCTTTCGGAAATTGAGTTGAATAAGTTGAAGATAAGAGTTGGATGTTTTGAAAACGAAAGAATGAACTAATAACAACTCGGGGGCGCGCCCAAGAGTTACTCGTTCGAATATTCAAAGAATGCTAGATTCTAAGAACATCCCTCTTTCGTAAGTTTGCGAAAGGATTGAATCGAAGAATGGCATGCGAGGCCAAAAGGAAATTGTTTTGAACTGGTTCGACGACGTGTCGAAGATTTGATCGAAGATGGAACCGACTTGACGACGTGTCAAGTGTTAGGATTGTGAGAAACAATATTAGTCCCTGAGGGTGCTCCTAATATCGAGACCACGAGGAATTGTGAAAGAAATGGGTTGCGAATGCGGACGAGCAATCGACTCAGGAGAATATAGAGAACGGTTGAGTTTGAAAAAGTCGAAAGGTTGAGTGAATAACAACCCAAAGGGCGTGCCTCGAGAGCTATTCACTCGAAAATTCAAGGAATGCTAGACTCCAAGAACCTCCTTCTTTCGAAGCGTGAATCGAAAAAAGATATTTAAAAAGGTCGAAAGATTGAATGAATAATAACTCAAAGGGCGTGCCTCGAGAATCATTCACTCGAAAATTCAAGGAATGCTAGACTCCAAGAACCTCCTTCTTTCGAAGTTTGATCGAGAAAATGTTTGAAAAAGATTTGAAGTGAAATGAGGTATGAAAATAATTTGAGGTACGAGATGTGAGGACATGAGATTGGATTTGAAAAATGAGAGAAATGACAATTATTTGATAAATGAGACGCAGGCCTCACAACCAAATAATTGGGGTATTATCGAAATGCTAGATCTCGACGACACCTTTTTCATTTGGAGAATGCTTGAATGAACAAAGGAAATATCACAAAGAATGCTAAATTCTCATGACATTTCTTTGTTAGAAAAATATAATTTTTTGAAAATGAGAGGTCGAATAATACACTACTTAAGGTGTACACCTTAGTAATGACTATCCAAAAATTCAAGAAGTGCTAGACTTCAAGAATTTAGTTTCTCACGATTTGATTTAAAAAATAATTTAGTAATAAAAAATTAAATTGAGTAAGGGCTAAAATTATTTATAAATGAATTTGAAAAGAAGATATTTTAATTAAACCATTTTGAAATAAGAATTATTTTAAAAATAGATTTGAAAATAAATTTAAACAAAGATTTTTTAAAAAAAATAGTTTTGAAAATAATCTACAACATAATAAAATAGTAGTGTATCAGTATCCAGGGGGGGTACACATGAAAATCCCCATGATGGACCCTAAGGCCCAATCTCAAAAAACAAAGAGGAGTGTAATAAAAAAAACAGGGGGTTGGGTCCGAATGAAACGGATGGGTCAACGGCCCATTAAGCCCATGTCTGTGAACTAACATCTTTCCACTTTGCCCCAAACAGTAACCCTAGATTCCCTTGGCCGCCGTTGAACTTTCTTCTTCCTCTCCCCTTCCTCGTTCACTCTTCGCCTGCTTTTCTCCTGTTCAAACAATCAAAACAAATATCATAAACAAAAGGCTCAAAGTTCAGTTCGTCGATTATGATGGAGATTAGAAGACGTTCGGTTGGAGCTTCGTTCATGGCGGGTGACACAATCTCGGATGGTGGAAGTTTGGTGCGAGGTTCAGATTAGGGCTAGCGGTGGTCCACGAAAGGAGAGAAGCTTATCGTTTTTGCATGTTGAAGATTTGTAAGTCTGAAGGTGTGAAGGTTGTTAGTTGAGAAGACGAAGATCTGGGTTTGGAAAGGGATTTGTGTTGCTATATCTGGATCCGAATATTTTATTGAAGTTTTTGATGTTTGTGAAAAGAAAATCTGGAAAAAAGTGTGTTTGAATCGAATGGATGTTCATCCGTTTATTCAGAAAAATGATGAACAGGACGAACAAGTTTAAGTGTTCATGAAGTTTAGTGGTGAGTTTGGAAAGCTTGAGTTGTCGATGACGGTGGTGGATCTGTGGGAGATCTGGAGGTTACGTTGAGTGGTGTTGAATAATGATTTGAGGGTAAAATCGGAGAATCTGGAGATCGAAAAAAAAGTTGAGGTTTGCGGTGATGTGAATCTGGTGATTTCGCTGAGTTGAAGCTTGTTGTTGCTGTTAGATCTGAGTCTGAATGGTGAAACTTCGATGTTGTTAGTTAATCGATGAGTTTCTGGGGTTTAGATCCAAGGGGATGATGAAATTTAATTCGGATGATGATGGAGTTTGGAGTCTGTGAGATGATGAAGATCTGGAAAAGTGTTTATGGGGGGTTGAATGTTCATAGTTTCTGGAAAAAATAGGATGAATGATGAAGAACTCGTATGAACATTGCTGGGAAAAAGCCATGAACATTGATGAACATGTGCAGAAAAATCTGGAAAAGAGTTTGAGTGTATGTATTTCTGGGAATTTGGATGAAGATGGTATGAATATTGTTTGAACAGGTGAAGAACACGAAGAAAAACGCATGAACATGATAATTTCTGGAAAAATCTGTCACGAACATCATGAACACGGATGAAAATATTAATAAATCTAGAAAGAAAAAATGAT